GGAAAAAAAGTATTTAGTCAGCCACCAATTGTGTAAGTTCTCCCACTTAAAAAGATGAGAGAGGCCTCATAGGTACACGTCAACTATGACAGACAAAATGAGATTTTTTTTCTCCAGAAAATCACATTGTAGGATTTTTAATGAATTTATTTGCAAATTATGGTGGAAAATAAGTATTTGGTCACCTACAAACAAGCAAGATTTTCTGGCTCTCACAGACCTGTAACTTCTTCTTTAAGAGGCTCCTCTGTCCTCCACTCGTTACCTGTATTAATGGCACCTGTTTGAACTTGTTATCAGTATAAAAGACACCTGTCCACAACCTCAAACAGTCACACTCCAAACTCCACTATGGCCAAGACCAAAGAGCTGTCAAAGGACACCAGAAACAAAATTGTAGACCTGCACCATGCTGGGAAGACTGAATCTGCAATAGGTAAGCAGCTTGGTTTGAAGAAATCAACTGTGGGAGCAATTATTAGGAAATGGAAGACATACAAGACCACTGCTAATCTCCCTCGATCTGGGGCTCCACGCAAGATCTCACCCCGTGGGGTCAAAATGATCACAAGAACGGTGAGCAAAAGTCCCAGAACCACACGGGGGGACCTAGTGAATGACCTGCAGAGAGCTGGGACCAAAGTAACAAAGCCTACCATCAGTAACACACTACGCCGCCAGGGACTCAAATCCTGCAGTGCCAGACGTGTCCCCCTGCTTAAGCCAGTACATGTCCAGGCCCGTCTGAAGTTTGCTAGAGTGCATTTGGATGAACCAGAAGAGGATTGGGAGAATGTCATATGGTCAGATGAAACCAAAATAGAACTTTTTGGTAAAAAACTCAACTTGTCGTGTTTGGAGGACAAAGAATGCTGAGTTGCATCCAAAGAACACCATACCTACTGTGAAGCATGGTGGTGGAAACATCATGCTTTGGGGTTGTTTTTCTGCAAAGGGACCAGGATGACTGATCCGTGTAAAGGAAAGAATGAATGGGACCATGTATCGTGAGATTTTGAGTGAAAACCTCCTTCCATCAGCAAGGGCATTGAAGATGAAACGTGGCTGGGTCTTTCAGCATGACAATGATCCCAAAACACACCGCCCGGGCAACGAAGGAGTGGCTTCGTAAGAAGCATTTCAAGGTCCTGGAGTGGCCTAGCCAGTCTCCAGATCTCAACTGCATAGAAAATCTTTGGAGGGAGTTGAAAGTCTGTGTTGCCCAGCGACAGCCCCAAAACATCACTGCTCTAGAGGAGATCTGCATGGAGGAATGGGCCAAAATACCAGCAACAGTGTGTGAAAACCTTGTGAAGATTTACAGAAAACGTTTGACCTGTGTCATTGCCAACAAAGGGTATATAACAAAGTATTGAGAAACTTTTGTTATTGACCAAATACTTATTTTCCACCATAATTTGCAAATAAATTCATTAAAAATCCTACAATGTGATTGTCTGGATTTTTGTTTCTCATTTTGTCTGTCATAGTTGACGTGTACCTATGATGAAAATTACAGGCCTCTCTCATCTTTTTAAGTGGGAGAACTTGCACAATTGGTGGCTGACTAAATACTTTTTTTCCCCACTGTCCCTTATTCACAGGCTCAGTTCAAGGTCAGATGATGTCACTCCTATGGTCAGGTGAGAGTTGGATTTCACTCATACCTTCAGGTCCGATCTTGCCAGGATCGTAGTCATTAGTGTAGACCGTTGCAAACCGTTACGAAACATTTTGCAACGGAAGCTCAGGTAGTCCCTCCCCGTTTCGGTTACGATCCAGATGAAGGCTGGTAGTTTAGCACTCACCTGTAATCTGTGCCCTCCACTGGTGTCCAGGTGTATGTCCGCATAGCCTCATCAATGTACCTCTGAAATCAGACAACAACATCAGATCTCCCTGATCTGCACCAGAATCACTTCCTCAAACAACCTGGACTACAGTACAACAAGTTTGAATTGTTGTCATGAATCTGGATGGTGCCAGTATGGATCATGGCTGAGCCTCATATATCTGGATGGTGCCAGTATGGATCATGGCTGAGCCTCATATATCTGGATGGTGCCAGTATGGATCATGGCTGAGACTCATATATCTGGATGGTGCTAGTATGGATCATGGCTGAGACTCATATATCTGGATGGCGCCAGTATGGATCATGGCTGAGCCATATATTGATGACTTACCTCATCAACTGACTTAATGAGAGTCTTGATTTTCTTTTGCCCTGATTTGCCATCGATCATTTCTCGACGGATCTGAGGGAGAGAGAGAAACAGACAGAACAGGAGGAAGGACAAGAAAGGGCAAAAACAAGGAAATTAGAAAGGCAAAAAAGAGATGGAGAGTTTTATATACTTTAACAAAAATAAACTGTGACATTTGATTCAACAGTTTGGTCATGGGACCACTGTCATACAGCTGTAGTAACCATGACAATGTTAGAGATGTGTGGGTGTTCAGTTGAGCGCTGTCTTTACCTCCTCCTTTTTACTGTCCTCTAGCTCAGCATCCAGGAAGTCCAGGGTGACAGGCTCTCTGAAGTTAATGATCTGAGAGACAGACAGGCAGCCAATCAGATAGCAGGAATAATACCAGTATCTGGGTAGAAAAGTCAAGAAAAGTCAGAACAGAGGAATACTAATGATGTAGAACAAGAGTCAGGAGGAGTCAGGAGGAAAGTCTGGGTCATAGAAATAGAATGAAGCCTGTTCTATTCATTCTATTACTATGGTCTGGGTCCTACCTTAGGTTGCAAGATGGGATGCATAGAGGACAGTCTTGATCCTACCTTAGGTTGCAGGTTGGGGTGCAGGAGCAAATAGCCATTTTGGTCGATTGCAAAGGTGTATCCATTGGCTCCAAGCTGTAGGGAGAGGAACGAGACTCAAAACCAGTGAAAAATAGATATCCTTTTACTGCTTCTGTGTTGCGTGTGTGTGCGCGTGCGTGCGTGTGTGTGTGTGTCTGTGTGTGTCTGTGTGTGTGTGTGTGTGTGTGTCTGTGTGTCTCTGTGTGTGTGTCTCTGTGTGTGTGTGTGTGTGTGTGTGTGTGTGTGTGTGTCTGTGTGTCTGTGTGTGTGTGTGTGTGTGTGTGCATGCATGCATCTGTGTGTGTCTGTGTGTTTCTGTGTGTGTCTGTGCGTGTCTGTGTGTGTGTGTGTGTGTGTGTGTGTGTCTGTGTGTGTGTGTGTGTGTGTGTGTGTGTGTGTGTGTGTGTGTGTGTGTGTGTGTGTGTGTGTGTGTGTGTGTGTGTGTGTGTGTGTGTGTGTGTGTGTGTGTGTGTGATGTACTTACCCTGTATGTTGGTGTCTTCCTCTTAATTTCATTGATCGCAACATCCACTCCCATGACACCAAGGACGAGCTGAGTCTGTATAAAAACATTATAGTTAATGGTTCCTGATCAACACCTCTGCCACTGGTCATGTCATCAAACCATCAGTCAACCTCTCACATTAAGAAGCAGAGCCAGAGGCTGCACGTTCGCACACGCACACACACAAACACACACACACACACACACACAGAGAGGGGCATTAGACTGACTGCTGAAAAGCTGTCCTCACCATCTGTGATTTATTACCATGTGTACCATCTGATTAATCTATATCTACACCTTATACCATCTGATTAATGTATATCTAAACCCTGGAACTTCAGAAGCCTTTTTCAACCTCAAATACACTCGTTTAACATTTTCTGTATTGCCAGGAAAGTTATCCTGCAACAGGGTGATCAGATTAAGATCCTACATCTGTAGAAGCATCAGTCATGTGCGATTATCTCAAGTGTCAATATTTTCCATTCGATTTGAACAGTTGATTCAGTTGGAGCTAAGCAACAGTATGGCCTGATTCACAATATAGGGAGCCAAACCAAAACGAGCTGTAATGGGCTGGACTTGTGATGCATCCACCATAGTTGCTGGAACCATGCTGGAAAGAAAACATTCAAGTCAGCCCTACCCGGCTAGCACATTTGGTTCCTTGGAAGTTGTGGGAATGTACATGTTTGGTTTCCCATTGGTTCTAGGAACGAAGCCATAAGTTTCCTGACTGGTAAAACAGAAAGGAAGTGATTTTTTTTTTTACATTGAATGTTACTAATGTTTTCTAGTGGTTTTTATTAAAAGTATTGTATTAATGTTCTGAGTACATTACTTTAAATAGAACCATGAGGAAACCTGTAGGGAACGTTATGCTGAAGTACTGAAATTCCCAAAGAATATCGTTGTTTCTTAACGTTCTCTGAACTAGTTGAGAACATTCCCAATGTCAAACCAGTTGGAGAACGTTCCTAGAACATTCCCAACAATGTTACCATGTTTGAACTTTTAGGAATCGTTCTGTTAAAGTAATGAAATACCAAGAAAATAACGTTATTTTGTCAAGTTCCTTAAATGTGTTGAGAATCTTCCAAAGCCAAGCAACTATCCTGTACCATTCCCAGAATGTTGTGGGAAGGTTGTATGCTAAATAACCATAGGACAACCATGCTCTCACCAAGTTCTAAGAAACATATGGTTCTCAGAACATTATGTGCTAGCTGGCTATGGTCCTTGTTGGTCCTATATTGTGAATCATTAGTGGATGGATGTATCAAAGCTGCTGGGCCTGTTGCCACCTCAGGGGGTCAGTGTTGCCCTGCGGTCGGTCGGTGCACCAGGATGGGAGGATGCCATTAGACATGACTGATGGCCAACATTAGGGAGTTATAGACACAGAAGGGACTGTTGTGCAGTCAGGATTCCTGTTGTTTTCCAATGATGCAAATCAGTTTGCTCTCAAATGGGAAATCTGTATCTAAGTTATGGCTCAGTACCGATTCAATATATGTTTATGTATTTATGTTTGTGCTCCTCAAAGAGCCACAGTGGACAGAAATACATTTTCTAATGGCCCTGAGATCATTTGAAGATAAACTGTGCAATAACAAGTCTATTCATTTGTGAATCACTGTAAACCCTAATTTAGAGCTTCATGCTCCTGCTGATATTTACCTGAGAGTTGGCATCAGCGGTGAGGTTGAAGACCGGCATGGTCCCAGTTATGACCAGACCCAGACCCTGAACACACAAACAACATATTAACATCAAAGTCTCAGTATATGGGACTTCAGAAGGTTGTGTTAGCATCTATATAATTTTTTTCCATCTAAAACATAGCTTTGTTATAGGTAGGACTCAAAATAGAAGTTTGCAAGCAACTAATTCTAAAGGGTTTCGGTTTTTGGCTAGTACTGGGTAAACTGCATTACAATGGTCTTAGTATTAAAACAGAAATTAATTAATGTACTGTAACTTGACAATTGTGTTGCTACTCATCAGTGGGATAGTCTGTGTCTTACCAGAGCATCCTGGTAGACGTTGGTCCATTGGACCTGCTTGGCCTTGGGCCCTGCCAGCACCATAGGCCGACCCAGCACATCCAGGTACTCCTGAGACAGGGAGGAGAACACACACGTCAGAGCAATGACAAACACACACACACACCATATATTGCTTTATAAACTGGGTGGTTCGAGCCCTGAATTGATTGGCTGACAGCCGTGGTATATCAGACCGTATACCACGGGTATGACAAAACATATATTTTTACTGCTCTAATTACTGTTGGTAACCAGTTTATAATAGAAATAATGCACCTCGGGGGTTTGTGGTATATGGCCAATATACCACGGCTAAGGGCTGTATCCAGGCACTCCGCGTTGCGCATAAGAACAGGCCTTAGCCGTAGTGTATACCACACCCACTTGGGCCTTATTGCTTAATTATAGTGATTGTCTTACAGTCATCGTAAAACTACAAGACCCTTACAAGTCTTCTCACTGTTATATAAACCAGTGGGCGAACAGTAGAAGCAGCCCAGACTTGAGGAGCAGTAGGGCCTGCGGACGGTCTTTAGACATTTAGGGCCATTACTCATCAATATGAAGCAGCTACTAAAAACACATTAGGAGTGTCAGAGGCACGTGGCACAAACATGCCAATCTCCCACTGCCTCTCTGTGTTAACCACAGCAGTGTGAAAACACCTCTCTGTGTTAACCAGAGCAGTGTGAAAACACCTCTCTGTGTCAACCACAGCAGTGTATAAACACCTCTCTGTGTTAACCACAGCAGTGTATAAACGCCTCTCTGTGTTAACCACAGCAGTGTATAAACGCCTCTCTGTGTTAACCACAGCAGTGTTTAAACACCTCTCTGTGTTAACCACAGCAGTGTATAAACACCTCTCTGTGTTTGAAAACAGGGGTTAAGGGTTAAACTTACGAGTGATTCATCACATTCATCACATTCTCTTTTCCTTAGGTTTATTTAATAGATTCAAAACGTCAAATGTGTTTTTCTGAATAATGTATTGATCCATGGAATGCTGCTATTGGGGATTGTGGGGAAATCAGTGACTGTGTGACACAGTGACAGGGATCACATCGCCCAAATCTGATAAGGAAACCTTTGGACCTTGGGAGTTTGATCCTAGATGTCAGTGAAATGTCTTAGTGAGTCCCTGCTGTTTCTGTTCAAATTAATCATGAGAAAACAACAGGCTTTGGTGACCGCTTCACCAACTCCAATATATCTCAATTGTGGGTGAGGATTTCAGGGAAATTCTATCCTAATCCAACTAAAGATGTAGGTAGTTAAACTACACTGATCACGTCTACAAAATAGGGAGTTAAAGCCAATTTATGCTTGATCCGAAAATGTGGTTGGAGGCGCGGTATGGAGGGTATGACGCAATTGCGGAGCCTTTGGAGGCAGCAGAGGCCAAATCGAGCTCCGTACCGCATTGCGTGCGTCTCTCAAACTTTGTAAAAATGTGAAGGCTCTGTATAGCTCCGCATTGACATGATTGGTTGACGGTAGGTGAGGGCGGGAGGTCCTGTATAAACACACACTCACTTCCTTGACAACTTCCTTCATAACAGCTCTGAGCTGCTCCACGAAGCGCAAGAAGTAGGAATGCCCTGAATTCTGCAGAGGCCATATCACCATAAATGCTACACGGCCAATGCAGACGAAGGGATTGACCATGCAGTGCCTTTTAGTCTGCAAAAGAGGTCTTATTCACATAGTCAGTAAATAATGCTCCCTTTACATAATGGTATATTCCATTATAGCACAACTCAGACCCTACCCATAACAGTCTATGTATCCATCTTCTACACAAGGGGGGTCGCCCAGTGTGAACACACTGAGAACAGTGCTGTTTTAGTGTTGAGCCTTTGACCGTTTGTTATTCATGGACTGAACACTGAGGTGCTGACAGGCGTAACCTATTCTATTATCAGCTCACTAAAACTCCCGTTTAACGCTCGCACCACAGGGAGATATTTCATCAGGATGATGACAGGCAGACCTTTTCACAGGATATAGGGGACATTTTTCACCTGACTAGAACAATTTAGCAAACATAAAAGTCAGCCAGCAGAAAGGCTGTGGAGGTCCAAGGGAAAGGCCAGGGTCCAGGGTCCAAGCTAATGGTTCTGTGGGTTAATGTGTTGCTACGACCAAGGACTACTTTACATGCATGGCCCAGGCCAACCAACTAGCATCCTGTCTGTTTGGGCAACTACACTGTGAAACACAGGCTGCATCAGCTATGTGTTACTAAGTACACTGGGGACGAGCAACTCACTCAATTTCTACAGCTGGAATGAGCTGATCCCAAGGGGCTCTACACTCTTAAAAATGGGTTCCAAAAGGGTTCTTTGGCTGTCCCCATAGGAGAACCCTTTTTGGTTCCAGGTAGAACCCTTTTTGGTTCCAGGTAGAACCCTTTTGGGTTCCAGGTAGAACCCTTTTGGGTTCCATGTAGAACCCTCTGTAGAAAGTGTTCTACATGGAACCCAAAAGGGTTCTACCTGCAACCAAAAAGGGTTCTTCAAAGGGTTCTCCTATGGGGACAGCTGAAGAACCATTTAAGGTTCTAGATAGCACCTTTTTTTCTAAGATTGTGGAACCTGGTAGTGCCTGCAGCAGAGTGGAGGGGAGCGTAGGAGGGTGGAGGGGCCACGGGGGTGTGAGGGGCGGAGGACCCGGAGGAGTGTGTCTGTGTGGTGGGTAGTGTAGTGGACTCGAGGAGGGGTGGATTAGGCAACACAGCCTCTGGCTCACTGAGTTTACTGAGACCTGCAGGAAGACAGAAGAGAGCTCTATCTCTCCCTGTAACTTACTCTCTATTCCTCTTTCCAAGCCTCCTTGTGTCATTTTGTAATGGAATATTTAAAGGCATTATCTACAATCTGCATAATTATCTTTAAAGAGAGTAATGAACTCAAAATGACCTAGAAAACACACCCTAAGTGAAGTTACAGTAAGGATTCACACAAATGCACACATACACACACTGAAGGAAGGATATATCACCTGTGTGTTAATTCTAATGGCTCCAATGGATGGAATCTCGTAGTAGAATCCTGAAGATCAAAGTGAGAGAATCTGTTCAGTGGATCCACAGTGATAATAACCAACAACATGTAACTGTTCTATTGTAGTATGCATTGTAAAGGTAATATTGCTATGCATAAGTGAAATAACACAACAACCCAGCGAAGTCTCTAGCTATTAGAGCACATGTAGTGCTATCATTTCAAAATGACTCCTCAGCAGAAGGCTGATTGTTCTCTATGGGAAAATTGCATTTAGTACCCCATTAACGGTGTTGGCCATTATGTCATTTGCTGCAGATTTGTTTGTGTTTGTGTGTGGTGTGTGTGTGTGTGTGTGTGTGTGTGAGTGTGTGTGTGTGTGTGTGTGTGTGTGTGTGTGTGTGTGTGTGTGTGTGGAAGCATACGCAAGTACACGTGTGTGTGTACTCTGTGATTGATTTGCATTAGGGTGCTATGGGGAAACAATTGGCCATTGACCTCCAGTTTCACCATCATTTTACTGCAGGATGTCAATGTAATGTGTGTGAGGGGCTCATTGAGGATGCTGCTGCTGTACCCCAGCCAGAACAGAGCAGGACTGCTGATTAGGGATGGAGGAGAGGAGAGACACTCTGTCTCTGGGTCAATAACTGCTGCCGCTCCCCAAGTTATTAAAGTACAGAGTGTTTATACAAAGAGCCGCGAAATGGAGACAACATCCCCAGAATGTTAAGAGACAATAACGCCTGGCGTTTTTAATAAATCACACACACACACACACACACACACACACACACACACACACACACACACACACACACACACACACACACACTTCCTATGACCGTAGCTCCTCCCTTTGCTTAGTGTTTTTGGCTGCCTGCCAGAGACTGTGACATGTCCAGTTGTAGGGCAGAGCAGGCCAATAGGGACGAGGGGAGAAAGCGACATAGAAACTAGAGAGCATGGACCAGAGGTCTACACCCAGGTCTTCAGAAACTAGAGAGCATGGACCAGAGCTCTACACCCAGGTCTTCAGCCACCAGAGAGAGAGAGCATGGACCAGAGGTCTACACCCAGCCACCGGAGAGAGGAGAAAAGTTCAGCCCACAGTGAGACGGAGCCGGGCTAGGTTCCACTTAAGAAGGGATTGCAGCACAAGTCAAGTGAGACAACAGTGAGGCTAGTCAAGAGGGAGCTGGGTGTGTAATGTGTTTGTGAGGCGGATCCATGTGTGTGTGTAAGTGTGTGTTCTGGGGGAGAAGGTTGGGCTCGACATGTCAGCAGGGTATCTCTGTTTGCGTGTGATACCAAAGAAGCGCAATAAGCACTGTGCTGTATTACTATATGTAAAAGGACAGGTCCACAGAGGAGATGACCTCAATAAGCATTGTCTTAGGTTGGCATTGGTTTTGGTGCTATGCTAATGATTAGAGTGAGTGGCATGTTGGCACATAGGAGTAATCCTGGACTTCCCCCATGCCGCCTGCCTGACTGAGAGATGGTAGCCACGGTTATCACCACACAGCCAGGCTCCACCCGATAATGAATTACAACTTGTGGGGAGGGAGGCACTTCTGAAGCACTCTGAAGGCTCCACTGGAAATGAACTAATTAGCCTTCTATAGGAGGGATGCTTCCTGTGATGGGAAGAAGGGAGAGCTCGGCGTAATAGAGAAATGTTGAGACAGTGAGAAATCAAACAAGATAGGGGAAGGGAGAGAGAGAGAGAGAGCGAGAGAGAGAGAGAGAGAGAGAGAGAGAAGGAGAGAGAGGAGAAGAGGAGAGGAGAGAGAGAGAGAAGAGAGAGAGAGAGAGAGAGAGAAGAGAGAGAAGAGAGAGAAGAGAGAGAGGAGCGAGAGAGAGATCTCGAGAGAGAGATAGAGAGAAGAGATCAGAGACGATCAGAGAGATAGAGAGATAGAAGAGAGATGAAGAGAGAGAGACATGTTTCTTCCAGAAACAGTAGAAAAAGAGTGATACAGAGAGAACAGAAAAGTGGAATACATTGGTTATGGTTCAGGATGGGCATGAGGTGATGAGGTCATGAGGACTAATGGGCAAGGAGGAAAGGAGGATAGCTTAGTCATCTAGGTTGGGGACAGTTGGGCAGTTTGATTGGAGTTTGGTTATATGATTACATAATAATATCACATATTTTCGGGTTTCTGTTTGCTAGACTTGGGGAATGTTGATAGGCCGCAGAACGAGCTTCTGTTCTCCTCTATCTACGACTGTAGATGTAAAGTCTCTCCATGTCATTACACTTTAGAGGTACACCCTCTCTCCTCACCTTTATTGGCACAAGCTATCCACTGCAAAGGGGTGACATCATAGTTGTGCTGCCCGACTGAAAAGGTAAATACTCGAATCTGGAAGGTGAGGAGATAGTGGGCAGAGAGATAAAACTGAGATCAGTAAAATCAACAGTCTTCTCGCACAGTGAGAAAGCAAAATGGCAGCAGCATTTCAAGCCATGTGAGCAAGGATGAAGAGAAAAAAACAGTAGGAGAGGGAGAAAGATAGACAGGGAGAGAGAAAGAGAGTGAATGAGTGCATGTGTTGGCTGTAATTTCATGGGCTCTGATGATAAAGTGGCTAATTAGTCACCAGGTCAGAGCTGTTAACACCAGCAGCAAGACAAGAAAAGAGAGAGAAAGAGAAATGACAGGGAGGGAGAGAGAGAGAGAGAGAGAGAGAGAAGAGAGAGAGAGAGAGAGAGAGAAGAGAGAGAGATGATAGAGAAGGTATAGAGAGAGTGGAGAGGAGATGAAGGAGAGAGAGAGGAGATGACTGATCGTGATAGAGCTAAGAGTATAGAGAAGAGGAGAGATACAGCGAGGAGTAGAGCGAGTAGAGAGAGAGTATAGAGAGAGAGAGAGTAGAGATGAGAGAGAACGATTAGAATTGAGAGTAGGGAGAGAGAAGAGATGTCTATCTCTCTTTGCCGTCCTCTCTCTCGATCTATTTATTTGATAAGGGTGATGTGGGCATAGTGGAGGAAAAGAGGATCTGAACAGACACCCCAAAAGGCTGGATCTATGTCCAAGGATGGAACTTTTGGAATCATTAAGATTCTCACCAAAAGAATGGCACCTAATGTGAGAAACATCGGATATTTTTGATAAGGATAGGGGATGAGAGAGAGAGAAGGGAGAGTACAGACTGGTTTTCAACTCATAAACATGCATGGCCTGATTCATTGGCAGACTAGGATTGATGAATATATCATTGTTGTTTGGGGACAGACTCACGGTTTTGTTGGGCCAGTTGTACTTCTCAAAGATGTCCTGTGCACGATCCTCCCCTCCATCTGTAAACATCATTATCATCTTATTGCAGCCTGCCCTCGGGGCGCCGGTATCCTGTGGAACATAGAGAGAGAGGAAGAGGAAGAGGAAGAGAGAGTAGAGGCTTTCCTTTCTCCTTTCTAGAGGGAGAGGGAGAGGGTTACAGGATTCAGATACAAATACAGCCATTTTCGGAATGATTAGTGGGTCTCTCTTCTTCGTTCTCGCTCGCTGGATGGGAGTGGGGAAAGAGAGAAAGAAGAAGAGATCCAAGAGATCAGATAGAGAGTGATTAGTGATAGCGGGGGGAGACCGTAAAGTGGACACAAACATTATAAAGTATAGCCTCTCCCTCCAGGTAATCACAAAAAAATTGTGTCTTGGTTCATCACAAGAGAAAAGAATGCTTGAGCAAAGTCTGGCTTCCAGTTCGCCTTCGAACAGCTGTAGAGTCTATGTTCTAATATGTTAGCTAATGTATAACCTGCATGTACAGTGCACAATACATCCACATATCTTTGATTGAAGTGTTCATACAGTTGAAGTCGGAAATTTACATACACTTAGGTTGGAGTCATTAAAACTCGTTTTTCAAACACTCCCCACATTTCTTGTTAACAAACTATAGTTTTGGCAAGTCGGTTAGGACATCTACTTTGTGCATTACACAAGTAATTTTTCCAATAATTGTTTACAGACAGATAATTTCACTTATAATTCACTGTATCACAATTCCAGTGGGTCAGAAGTTTACATACACTAAGTTGACTGTGCCTTTAAACAGCTTGGAAAATTCCAAAAAATGATGTCATGGCTTTAGAAGCTTTTGATAGGCTAATTGACATAATTTGAGTCAATTGGAGGTGTACCTGTGGATGTATTTCAAGGCCTACCTTCAAACTCAGTGCCTCTTTGCTTGACATCATGGGAAAATCAAAAGAAATCAGCCAAGACCTCAGAAAGAAAAAAGTAGACCTCCACAAGTCTGGTTCATCCTTGGGAGCAATTTCCAAATGCCTGAAAGTACCACGTTCATCTGTACAAACAATAGTACGCAAGTATAAACACCATAGGACCACGCAGCCGTCATACCGCTCAGGAAGGAGACGCGTTCTGTCTCCTAGAGATGAACGTACTTTGGTGCAAAAAGTGCAAATCAATCCCAGAACAACAGCAAAGGACCTTGTGAGGATGCTGGAGGAAACAGGTACAAAAGTATCTATATCCACAGTAAAACGAGTCCTATATCGACATAACCTGAAAGGCTGCTCAGCAAGGAAGAAGCCACTGCTCCAAAACCGCCATAAAAAAGCCAGACTACAGTTTGCCATTGCACATGAGGACAAAGATCGTACTTTTTGGAGAAATGTCCTCTGGTCTGATGAAACATAAATTAGAACTGTTTGGCCATAATGACCATCGTTATGTTTGGAAGAAAAAGGGGGTTGCTTGCAAGCCGAAGAACACCATCCCAACTGTGAAGCACGGGGGTGGCAGCATCATGCTGTGGGGATGCTATGCTGCAGGAGGGACTGGTGCACTTCACAAAATAGATGGCATCATGAGGAAGGAAAATTATGTGGATATATTGAAGCAACATCTCAAGACATCAGTCAGGAAGTTAAAGCTTGGTCGCAAATGGGTCTTCCAAATGGACAATGACCCCAAGCATACTTCCAAAGTTGTGGCAAAATGGCTTAAGGACAACAAAGTCAAGGTATTGGAGTGGCCATCACAAAGCCCTGAATCCTATAGAAAATGTGTGGGCAGAACTAAAAAAGCGTGTGCGAGCAAGGAGGCCTACAAACCTGACTCAGTTACACCAGCTCTGTCAGGAGGAATTCACCCAACTTATTGTGGGAAGCTTGTGGAAGGCTACCCGAAACGTTTGACCCAAGATAAACAATTTAAAGGCAATGCAACCAAATACTAATTGAGTGTATGTAAACCTCTGACCCATTATTCTGACATTTCACATTCTTAAAATAAAGTGATGATCCTAACTGACCTAAAACAGGGAATTTTTACTAGGATTAAATGTCAGGAATTGTGAAAAACTGAGTTTAAATGTACTTGGCTAAGGTGTATGTAAACTTCCGACTTCAACTCTATCTCTGTGTGTGTAGGGTAAATTATCCTGTGCCGATGTTAAATGTGTTCCGTGGCCAGGCGTTGGTTTAATGTGTTCCGTGGCCAGGCGTTGGTTAAACGTGTTCCGTGGCCAGGCGTTGGTTAAATGTGTTCCATGGCCAGGTGTTGGTTAAACGTGTTCCGTGGCCAGGCGTTGGTTAAACGTGTTCCGTGGCCAGGTGTTGGTTCTTAGCATACTCCTGTGATATGGATTGAGTTCTAGGCGTAGCCCCCCTCCTCTCCCTCCTCCCTTTCCCCCTCCTCTCCTCCCCAGTCTGCCTGCCTGACAGCTGCCATTGATACCCAGGCCAGCGGAATGTCACTCTGACGAAGATGCTAATAAAGATAAATAATATTCCCACAATTACACATTTTTATTACGCTTCTGACACTAATCATGGGGAATGCGGCAGACACTGATTAAAAGGCCTTTTTATTTCTCGATTTGCTATGTGGGGAGGCAGGCTGGGCTGGGCTAGGCTGGGCGCTTGGCTCCGTGCCTCTCTGCCCACCAGAAGAATATAAAGTGTCTGTGGCTGATCTCCTCACTCTCATCAATCAACCCATCAGAGCCTATAAGGACCGCAGCCTCCTATAATATATAGGAGTATAGAGAGCTGAGCTGAGCTGAGGCAGCACCTGTGTAGACAGACAGACAGACAGACAGACAGCAATGCCTGCCTGGTAGCCGCCCTGCTGCACAAACAGACAGGGACCACTGCTGTGCTGGCTAGCCCTAAACGCCACCATCGCCATCATCCCACTGCAGTGGCAGTTCCTAATCAGAATGACTGACTGACTAACTAGCGGCCCCTTTGGGCTCCATTCAGATGAGGCATAATCCTCTGATTGTCTAAAGAGTGGCTTGGTAGCACAGGGTCAATTCCAATATCAATTCCAATGTCAATTGGATGTCAATATTGTAATTAGCATGTCTTACACCATGGACAATTCATGGAAGACCTAACCTACCACCCTGAAATAAACCCCAGAGCGCGTGACTGACTGCTGGCTCTTAGTCTTACATTGAGTAGCTGTTCGAAGGCGAACTGGAAGCCAGACTTGTAGTCAGTGGTTCCTTTGGCTTGCATGTGCATGATGGACTCCTTGAAGATCTTCTTGTTTCTCATGTTGGCCTGGACCAAGGTCTTAAAACAGGGGACGACAGCATCGGCCTTCTCGTTAAACTGGGGGGGGAAAGATAATAATGAATAATTCTCAATTTAATGAGTCTGGATGTAACACGCTGCTCGCACGCTGGCATTGAGGGCCACTCTATCTGTAGTGTGTGTGTTTTTGTGTGTGTGTGTGTGTGTGTGTGTGTGTGTGTGTGTGTGTGTGTGTGTGTGTGTCAGGATGAGGAGGGGGACGTGTGCAGCTGTGGGTTGCTCTGTGCCACTCTGGCAATAAACGTTGATAATTACAGCTTTCCACTCAAAGAACAGGTGCACCTGGAATTCCAATGCAAACCAAGAACAAACAAAAAACACCCAGCCAAGGTAATGACATCTAGATCTCATCTCCTCTGCTAAATTAAAATTAGTCCCGGGCTGTGTGTTTGTCTGTGTGTGTGTTTGTGTGTGTGTGTGTGTGTGTGTGTGTGTATGTGTGTCTGTGTGTTTGTGTGTGTGTGTGTGTGTGTGTGTGTGTGTGTGTGTGTGTGTGTGTGTGTGTGTGTGTATGTGTGTCTGTGTGTGTGTGTGTGTGTGTGTGTGTGTGTGTGTGTGTGTGTGTGACAGACAGACAGACAGACAGACAGACAGACAGACAGACAGACAGACAGACAGACAGACAGACAGACAGACAGACAGACAGACAGACAGACAGACAGACAGACAGACAGAGAGAGAGAGGTAAACAGTGAGCAGTGTGTCTATGTGTGATTAGCATCAAACAGCAATGCCTGTAACGTCAGGTTTTTAATGGCCTTTCTTCTTGAAAGTCAACTTAAAATTCTGTTGACATTTGGAAGACAGAATGATGGCATAAAATAAGTTAAACATTTGGTGCATGAAAATCTGACATTTCCTTCTGTTTGTGTAGTTTGATATTTACAGTTTATTGTTAAAAATAGAAAAATAACATGAACTATAGTATTCCTTGTCACAGATTATGATCTCGCAACAAAATGATAAGAACACAATGTAATTGTTCCGTTGAAGGTTATACTGTATTGGAAATCAGAAGAGTTTGTTGAATCAGATTAAGATACAGTTGAAGAGTTTCATTCCAAAACGCTATGTATCCTAGGTGAGACAACCACATATCACAGTCAAATATACAAGATACGAACATTCAATTCCAGCTAAACAATGGATACATAGCGTTTTGCAAAACAAAAACATTTTCATACACATCTAAAATCTATGAATAAAAAATTTCTGAGAACAGTAATATTTTACACACACATGAAGGTACCCATAAGCAATCATTTCTGATGGAAAAACACAAATGTGAATAATTGGTGGATATAGCGTTTTGGAAATAAACTCTTCAGTAACAAAACCTCCTTCACTCATGCTGCCAAACACGCCCTCGTAAAACTGACTATCCTACCGATCCTTGACTTTGGTGATGTCATTTACAAAATAGCCTCCAACACTCTACTCAGCAAATTGGATGTAGTCTATCACAGTGCCATCCGTTTTGTCACCAAAGCCCCATATACTACCCACCATTGTGACCTGTACGCTCTTGTTGGCTGGCCCTCACTACATATTCGTCGCCAAACCCACTGGCTCCAGGTCATCTATAAATCACTGCTAGGCAAATCCCCGTCTTACCTTAGCTCACTGGTCACCATAGCAACACCCACCCGTAGTCTGCGCTCCAGCAGGTATATCTCACTGGTCATCCCCAAAGCCAACACCTCCTTTGGCCGCCATTCCTTCCAGTTCTCTGCTGCCAATGACTGGAACGAACTGCAAAAATCTCTGAAGCTGGAGACTCTTATCTCCCTCACTAAATTTAAGCATCAGTTGTCAGAGCAGCTTACCGATCACTGCACCTGTACACAGCCCATCTGTAATTAGCCCACCCAACTACCTCATCCCTATATTGTTATTTACATTGTTATTTATTTTGCTAATTTGCACCCTAGTATCTCTATTTGCACATCATCTTCTGCACATCTATCACTCCAGTGTTAAAACGAAATTGTAACTATTTTGCTCTATGGCCTATTTATTGCCTTACCTCCATAACTTGCTACATTCGCACACACTGTATATATATATTTTCTGTTTGTATTTTTGACTTTATGGTTTGTTTACCCCATATGTAACTCTGTGTTGTTGTTTTTATCGCACTGCTTTGCTTTATCTTGGCCAGATCGCAGTTGTAAATGAGAACTTGTTCTCAACTGGCTTACCTGGTTAAATAAAGGTGAAATAAAAAATAAATAAATACAATTCAGTAGTTGTGCTTGTAACAGGGCAGTGGAAGGTAATTTGGTAAATGATAATAATAATGGGAATATTTGACTGATCAAATGCAGAGTTTGAATTCCAACTGTATTACTGTTACAACACATACTGTTGGTGTCTACAAACCCTGTCATACTGTATAGGCAGATAAACAGACCTACAACCATACACCAGGTACAACCATTTTCTTTCCTTCTGACTTCCAGAGCTCTTATTTTCTTTATAGGGGAGGAAATCAGCCTTGTTCCCACCCAGATTACCACGCTAATTTCTGCCTTTTAGAGCTGGGATTTAGAAGCATACACTGACTAAGAGCACTGGATTATGGAGGATTAACCACCCAAGTCTCTAAACAGTCCTACACCGCCACTGTGTGTGTGTGTGTGGGGTGTGCGGGCGTGCAAATGCGTGCAAGTGTAGGCTACACATGTATGCAGTGAGTCAGATAATGCAGCATTCAATGGAAAACCTAAGAAGCAATGCAGGGAGACTGTGGGGGAGATAGATACAGGCACAATCACACATAGACCGGGGGTTGCAAAATTGTGGGATTAGAACCATGTGGGAAAGTAATAGTTTTTACAGTATATGTAACTATGCATACATCCCAGCAAACCGGGAACATTCCCAGAACATTAGCTAAGATTACCATTACATTTTCGTTCGGGTTTTATCTAAAATTAGGATGATAACATCCCAAAAACATTCAGAGAATATTTTTGATAACAAAATCTTTTCATTTTTCAATTTTTTTTTAAATGAAATTTCCTTGGAATGTTTTCCTAACATTCACTAACATGTTGTGGACAATATCTGTAACAACCACCACAGAACATTCCCCCAAAGTTATCATTAGGTTTCCAGGTAATGTAATAACACAATGTACCAGTAATGTTTTCCCAGCTAACCAAAACTGGTTCTGTGAAAGTTGTCATAACACAAAAACTTTCCATTCGTGGTGATGATTATAGAATGTTTGTATAAAACATTTGCCTGATGTTACAAAAACATTCCCAGAACACATTTAATCTGTTCTTTAAAGGTTCTCAGAATGTGTCATTAGGTTGTGGTAACATTGTGGGGATATGACAAGAGATATGTTCCTAATACACAAAAACTCTCCAGTTGTTCTGACATTGAGATAATGTTTGTATCAGGGTGCACAAAACGTTCTTTGATTTTGCAAGAATGTTGACAGAACAGCCATTTTGAGTTGTTTAAAGGTTCCCAGAACATGTAATTAGGTTGTGGGAACAGTGTGGGTACATTACAATATATAAGTTCCTAAAACACAAAATATGCTCAGTTGACATTCATACAATGTTTAAATTAGGTTGCACAGGACATTCCCTTAATGTTGTAAGAATAAAATAAGTCAGTTTGTATGATGTTCATAGTATATTTGTTTTAGGTTTAACATAATACTCCATTGATGTTCACTCAATATACATTTTACCTTGTCTTGGAGGTCCTCAGAACATTTCAAGAACATTTAGAAAATGTTATATTTAGGTTTGACCTAATATTACCACAACATTCTGAGCATGTGTAGCTCATTAAAGCAGAAGAAATCAGACTGGAATACATCCCCATTATGTTTCTCTTCAGATTTAATGGCAATTCACATTTGAGGACTGTATTGTAGGTGATATAGAGACACATGTTATTTTAATTTCATTCTGAGGACATTTGAACAGCATTTAATCATACAAACACAACAATATTTTACCATATAAAAAAACATTGTGTAAAAATGTACTGTTCAACTTTAAGAAACACACCCAATATAATATCTACTTTGAGATGCTTGATATGACCCCCCTGGCTTATTTTTCATGATCTGAAAAGCAAGTAATCCTAGATCAGCACTCATAATCTTAAATACCTTGTAAACATGGGCCCAGAAGTATGCAGCATATAAAGAGGATGGGTGAAGTGTTGGTGAATAACCCATTACCAGTTAGTTATGTCTAAAAAGGTTAAAAAGGAAGCATGGAATTCCTGATTGACCATACAGCCATGGCTATATACTGAAAAAATAAGACCTAAGAGCACTTCCCTGGTGGCACAGTGCATAAAATACCTGGCTTGGGAACCAAACAGTGCAGGTTTAAACTCCACATGTGCAGATTGTCAACATATGAAGTGTAAAACATATGGTTGTATTTGTATGATTAAATGCTGTTCAAATGTCCGGTGAATGAAAATAAAATGCTGTGTGTCTCAATCACCTGCAAATTGCCATTAAATGTGGTGAGAAATCTGCTTTAAGGAGTTACACATTTGCATGCTCAGAATGTTGTGGTAATATTAGGTCTAACTTAAATATATCATTTTGTGAATGTTCTTAAAATGTTCTGAGGACCTCCAAGACCAGGTCAAATGTATATTGCATGAACATCAATGGAATATTTTGTTAAATTTAAAACAAATATGGTTTACAACATTAAATCAAATCGAATCGAATCAAATGTTATTTGTCACATGCAGCGAATACAACAGGTGCAGACTTTACTGTGAAATGCTTACTTACGAGCCCTTTCCCAACAATACAGAGTTAAAAAGTAAGAACAATTTTCAAAATAAAACATGGAAATAGTAACACAATAAAATAAAAATAACAAAGCTATATACAAGGAGTACCAGTACCGAGTCAATGTGTAGGGGTACGAGGTAGTTGAGGTAATTGAGGTAATATGTACATGTAGGTAGGGGTAAAAGTGACTAGACAATCAGGATAGATAATAAACAGAATAGCAGCA